TTGTGAGAAAATTAAGAAGGTAAAGAGAGAGAGAGAGAGAGAGAGAAAAAAAGGGGGTAAATTTTTATGGGAAAGAAAAGTTTTTTCCTCTTTTTTTCTTGTTATTGTTGAAAAATTCGTTAATAGAAATAAATAAATGAGTAAGATAAGATGAAATAATTTATTTCAAATTAAATTAAATGATGAAAAACAGTTATTTTATTGGAATTTAAAATTTATTATCAAAAATTTATTTTTAATTATATCATTCCTTTTAATTTATTGGATAATATTGTAACAAAATTTGCAAAAATAACAAAAAAAAAATAATAAAGGAAAGGAAAAAGATGGAAGAATAGGAAAATATTTTCATATATTCGAATTATTTACTAATTAATTAATTTATGATAAGAAAATGGATTTGATTTAAATGGATCATATATATTGGAGTTTGGTTTAATCATATCTAATTTTTTTTTAATTCTTATCTTGATTAATTTCTAATTTTATTTTAATAATTTCAATATTATTCATTTTAATGCTTCACATTAAATTTAATTCATTTCTGATTATTTGGTTTTATTTCATTTAGGTGCTGTTTTTTTTTTCTGCGACTTATTATGAATTAATTAATGAACTACTTGTTATTCTATTTTACCCTATATTTTAGTATACAATGGAAATAAATATGTTGGAAAATGGATATAGTAGAAGTTATCGGACAAATATAAGTATTCAATTACCATTAATTTACATACATTTATCTACTGATTTAAATCTCATTACATTCTAATTATTCCGCTGCAATCATTTTAGACTAGATTATTTTCGAATGTTATACAAATTGATATGATGAAAATGAATGCAATAAAAATTACTAAATAAATTAAGTATTTAATTGCTATTTATTCCTATTCATCCATTAATTCATCTATTCATTTAAATCATATTACACTCCAAATATTCCACTGCAATCATTTAACATTTTACTCTTTTGAATAAAAACTTTCTTGTGACAATTAATTTCCATTCATTTTATCATTTCCATTTATGTTATTCATTTCAATTGTTATAAATTATATCAGTAATTTGTGCAAAACGTAACTATTATGACTTAAAGAATAGTAAAATTAAATTATTGCTCTAAATTTTCCAATCGACTTTTCTAATTAAATATTTCATAGCAATTTCATTAAGAGATTTATTAGAATCGATTTCTTACCTTTGTAGTACATTAAATTATTTATCTAATACACGTGTTTCAAAATTTTTACTATTATATCATACAGTAAAATCCGTATCAAAATTGATTAACATTTAATCAGTAATTATTTATTATGATTTGTTACAATTTGCAAACTATCATTGTTGAAAATGAAAAATACTTGATGGACTTAAATTTGAAATATTTTCCAAATTAATAAATTTTGAAAAGTTATGAAAGTTTCAAATTTTATTTTTAAAAGAAATTCGATGGAATTTAAATAATTAAATTTTAATGTTTTTAAACTTTGTGAAAAATATAATTCAACGACCTAATAAATGTTATTGTTTAATCAGTTTCATTTAATCAATTTACAGTAGTGTTACGTAAATTATTTTATTTAATTTAAATTCATTAATTTAGTTATCGAAAACGAATAATTTATGTAAATTTCAATAGCATAATTCATTTCTTATCAAAAAACGGACCAAAATTTGCATATTTCATTTAAATTGAAACATTTTTTTCAATAGATTATAATTTTGGAAACAAATGTTGACTTATGCATATGCGTGCACACATACACACACATACAAGCACAGGTAGAATAAAAACTTTAATTAATTAACGTAAAGACCAAAAGAAAAGTAAAGAAAGAGTTGGGGGAAAAAATTTGAAATCATATAAAATAGCAATGTTTGAGTTTACAAGGCACATGGTGACACCAAATTCTCAGTATGGAAATTTCGTGACTTAATTTAATTTTATTAAATTTTTAAATTTCATCAATCTTTTTCATTTTTTCCCTCCTCTTTTCCTTTCCTTCAAAAATGCACACGCATACAAAAAGGAGGAGCTGGAAATGGAATACTTATGGAATGGAATACTTATCCAAATGATATTGTAGTAATTTGAATATGACACATTAAAACTGGAAATTATTTATGTCGAATTATTATTAATAGCGCATGAATATTTGATGAGTCATTAAAGAAAAAAAAAAGTGTCTCATATGAAGAAGAAATTATGACATTTGAAAAGTAAGTATTATGCAAAAATGATGACAATTAAAGTTTAACAAAGAAATGTAAAAAAAACAAAACAAAAAAAAATGATGAGAGGATAAATATGAAAACAGGAATATATATAGGAAAATGATAAAATTTAATTTCAAATTTGCATTTCGTTTCAAGTTTTTTGATTTTAGGCAAAAAAAAAACATAAAGGAGGAGTTGTTTCATCTGAAAATTAAGCTTTTTATTTTTTTGTTTTGTTTCTGAAATTTTGTTTTTAATTTTGTTTTATATTTGTTTACCATTTATTTGCCAATTTTTCCAGTCGTATTATTTTGATAATTAATTCTAATTAATTTTAAAACAATATATTTTTAAGCTTTTGCTTTTTTTTTCTCATTTGTAGTAAAAAAATTTATACTTCCAAAAAACTGGCAAATTTACTGTTCAAGCATTTTGAGCAATAATTTTCCACTAAAATGGCACTTCTTTAACATTGTCAATCAATCATTTCTGCTTCATTTTCCAAAATTTCACTTTAAAAAATTGAAATTTCTCAAAATTTGTTCAAAAAAAACCAAAAATTTTTGGAGAAAAAAACATTTCTTTTAAAGTGAAAATTTTTTTTTTTGCAAAATATTTGTTCAAAAATTTTAATTTCTCAAAATTTGCTCAAAATTGAAAAAAATTTTCATTCAATTAAAATTAGCATATTTGCATTTATTACAATAAATTTATTAATTCTAACCTTATTCAATTGTTTCGTAATGTTTCCAATTTTGTTGTTTTGTTTTGAATTGATTGTTGACATCTTTGATGTAAAATCAAATTTCCGGTCGTTGTTGTTGTTGTTGTTGTTGTTGTTATTGTTGTTTGTGTTATTAAAACCGGAAGAACCATAACAAATTGTGGAATATTTATGATAAATAGGCCGAGATTCGGATAATTGCATTGATTGACGAGTAAATGATGCATTAGCATTGCCGGATCCGGAAATAACTTTCACACCTCTTTCCATTTTCTCAAAATTGATTCCTACGTCACTTTTGCTAGCAGCGATAGTATCCAATTTTCTCTTCGCCAATTACAATCATCAATGCCATCCGTCTGTCGTATGAATCAAATATTGATATAAATAGCATTTGCATTGACGAATAAAATTGTTTCATTCATTGACATCAATACATATAATTATCTGGAAATGAATATTTGAAAACTGATAATTGGAATATATTTATCCATTTAATGGATACAATAAATTAAAGAAATGTGTGCTAAATTATAACTAAAATAATTAAATATATAATAACGGTAAAATTTGATTTAATGGTAAATTCAAGTATGGGATAAGTTTTAATAGTATAAAAAACCAAAAAGAATTATTCATTCATCTATCTAATAATAAATTAATTTAAAATTAAATTATTTGGGAAAAATGTTTACCG